GGTACAACGCTCCGATAGTCAGTAGGATCGATAGCAGGAAAGGTTCAGACGCGGAGAGCGAGGCAACACTTGTCTTTCCGTCCAGATCTAGGAATGGCGCGAATACGTGGCAGTAGGTGAGGAAGACTTCCAAGAGCATTTGACCCATCTCGGGGGTTATGAAGCCGGCTTCGATGGGATCGTGAACGGAAAGATGTCGACCTCCGTTGCTGTACTGTCGACCTGGAGGGGCTGTGCCAGCAGCTGAGGAAGACGAAGTCGGGACATTGGCCTCATTGGAAGCTCGTGTGGGCCCGAGGCGCTTGTCTGCGACGCTCAGCATGTCACGACCGCTGTGCGCGTCTTGCTGCGAAAGCATTTGGAGAGGGACGCTGGCCTCTGAAGCGCCATCCTGCAGCTCGTCGACTTCAGCGTCTGATTCGTCTGGCGAATCTGCCCTTGGGCGCTTGCGGTCGAAATTTTGGGCAGATGCGCCAGATCTTGCAGAAGCAGGGCGGACTCCAGTATTGTTTCCGTTGCGATCTAACGGACCTGCATGGCCTTCGACCCTCTCGGCAAGGCGAGATACTGTACGTTCGAGAACGTCGATGCGTCGAACTGCATCAGGTAGAGAATAGCCGAAGCGATCGGATGGGTGCTGGTTCGCAGACTGCCGAGGGTGAGCACCCACGCGGGTTTGGGTCGAATCGCGTGAGCGGTCGGCGAAACCATCAGGCATGGACGCGCCGTAGAGATGTGGACCTGTGGGATGAGGCAGGCCGCTGGCGGCCAATTGAATGGAGGCCTGGGAATGAGGACGAGTTGAGACAGAAGAAGCATAAGATGCACCATTGGCTTTGCTCTCTCGATCTTCGGTGTTGACTCTGTTTGAAGTTGGTGTACCTGCGTTGGCTTCAGAGGGCTCTTTGCACACAAGCTTGAGCTTGAGACAGCGGGCACAGGGAAAGACACCGTCACACTTGAGCTTTTGACCACGGCAACGAATGCAAGCACGCTGCGAACGTTTGCGCTTCTTGGCTTCTGGTTCTGCGTCCTTTGTAGAGTTGGACTGATCGGCGGCATCTTTGGATTCAGAAAGGGTCATTTTGTCGTCCGGGGATGCAGAACGACCCTGGTTTGGCGGAGTTGTGGCAGTTGGACTGGGCGCATCAGTTGATTTCTCGAGGTTGCTGAGAACCGACCCCTTTTGTGGTGGTTTAGTGTCGGACATGATAGGTATGAGCTGAAAATTGACCACAAGCAACAGTATTCAGATGGGATTGAGGCCTACAAGGTGCAATCAGAGAGAGATGTAGCGTCGAGCGTAGGTGTGACTGCCTGGTTCACGGAACAAGATTGGGCTGACCGTGCGGACGATTGAATATGGATGTTGCTGTAAGGATGGATGAAATGAGGAACTGGCAACTGTATCAAGCAGGAATGAAGTTGTTGTTGGAAAGACCTCGATGATACAAGTAGAACTTTGGGCTTTGTGATGGTGAAGAAAACCGGCTTGTCGTTGCGGAGTGGTTGGAAGATATTCGATTAGGTGGCAATGGGAAGGAGAAAAGTGTGAGATGGTGTCGAACAATGTCGAAGAGGACGATCGCTTGACAAAGAAGAGGAAGAAGAAGAAGGTACACAGGAAAGATTGTGGTGGGGGAAGGGCAAGATCAAGGCAATGGCGATTCGGAAAATGGTAGCTGCAGGATTGTGGCGTTGGCTTGTGGTGTAGGATGGAGGTGACATTCGGATCGGACCAAGCCGAAAGAAACATGGTCTGGCAGTGGCGGGATTAGCTGTGTGTCGGAGAGGCCGAGGGCGGAGACAAAGCAGGAAAGATCCATTGGCCGAAGCAAGGGTGGTGGCGGAGCAAGTAGGGCAAGACATGCGAGCTATAGTAACAACGGGCGGCTGTGCGGTTCCATTGATCAAGATCTACCGAAGACCGGTCTGCTTCGGCAGCCACACAGAACGAGACTCTTTGTTCCATATACTGCGCCGTCAAGAAGCTTTGGTGACATGTAGGAGAGAATCCGGAAATTGGGTACGTGTGCGGGTTGCCGGTGCCGATGACAGAGTGAACTCACGAGCTTTTTTTTTTATTTATAATATCTCATTAATCAGTGAATCACCCAGATCATTCGGACAACAAGGTGCAGCGCACAGGCTGAGGTTGGTTCAAAGGAACTGAAACCAACATGGCAGCCAGAGAAGGAAGAGTAGTGCGACGTGGTACCAAGGCCAAGAACAGCGATACAGCATTACTACCAATCGGGATCTGCTAGGGAAGGATTGCGGACAATTTAGGCTGTACTATCATCCCATTTATTGATGTGGTGTCAAGGCTCTATTATCACCTTTTAAAAGGGTTTTGAAGCGGATCTTCCGAACGCATTGACCGAACAAAGTTTGCGGCCAATTGTGGCAGCAAAATAAAAATAAAAATAAAAAATAAAGATAAAGATAAAAATCATGCAGAGGAGAGGGTGAACCCAGAAAATGATGGTTCGGTCCTTTAGTGAATGGAAAGCGAAAGCCGGCTTGGGTCACACAAGCGAGCCAGCTAAATTGGGGAACGAGTGAAACCGGTGTTAGCTCCCAAATAGCCACCGCCCTCATCGGATCGGTCCGAAAGCTTCTCCTGTGGTGACACTACTGTCAAGGCATTCGCACATTTGTGAATGAGATTGTGTTGTTGGCGATCCCGACTCGAGAAGCCGAAATTAAATTCGTGCGACTTTGGAGCAGTGTTGGTAAGACACGATCAAGACAGTGTTGTGGCCGATTGCCGACAGAGCGGTAACCGAGCCCGATTTGGAAACGCGATGAAACACGGAAGCGGGCATTGCTGCATGAAATGGTGGGAGAGGGAAATCAAATTTACTGGCAGCAGAGGGCATAGTGTGAGAAAAGGGCAAAGCGTTGTTGTGTATACAGTGTATTTGGGACAAGGTGCCCCAATTGGAGCCGGAAGCGTTTCCACCCCAACTTGATCCTGGATTGTGCTGGGTTACAAGTCAATGTGAGTGCTCAAGAATGAACCAACAACAAGTGCTCATGAGATTGCTTCTAGGCTGCCCGTCGCCATGTAGCTTGCAATTGATGCAAGCACAAAGATATGGCCAGCAAATATTATTTTTAAGCCGGTCGAGGCAAGCTTGCAGTTCACATTTTGAGGCTCTCTGAGAGTGGTAAACGAAGCCAAGCCCATGTCGTTGAAAGCCGATTGATTGGTTTGCTTGGTCGTCACAATTACGCGCATGTTAGGAGTGAAACTGCTACCGATTCAACTCAACCCGGGACGGGATTGATGAGAATTTAATAATGTAAGTTACCGTATCTCCGCTGCACACTCTGCAGCACTCTCCTTGCGCACTACAAAATTTGGTTTCAATTTCATGAACGACTCTGCATCCTTCATTAGTCGCACTTTAACACTATCCGACCTCTGCTCGCTACACATGCTTGATCAGTCTTGCGATCCGGAATCACCGGTTCACGGGGTCGTCGATGCAGCTGCCAGTGTGCTCTGCCGCCACTAAGGATCGCTCATCGCTCACTAATCTAAGCCTTCCATGCATCCAATTACGTAAATTTTACGTGAATTGAATGCCCTAATGCCCGTATGCTTTTATTTTCGATCCGGTCCAATGTTCCCATCCTTTGGCCGAGACACGTGTTCTCGTGCATTTAGCAAAAATGATCATGGGAACCCAATTGGGCAATCATCATTTCACCCAAGACTATTGCAACTGCCTCTATACAATGCTGCCCTAGACTGGTTTTTTATTCTGGTTTGGCCCAAGTGTGGCAGATTCCTTCCGTTAGTTTGTGTGTGTGTGCGTGTGCTGTTGCTGTAGAATTCAGTGGTGGACAGCTGCAAAGATGAAGAAGAGCTCGGCGAGGTTGGCTTTGGAAATCATAAACACCATTTCTAAAAAGAATAAAAATTAAAAAATTAAAAGCAATAGATCACAACTGCGGGAAAAATAGAAGAAACAAAAACTTGGGTGTGGTCGTCTGAACCTTGCAGGTGAACACGAAATGCCGTTTTCAAGTGTTGCTATAAAAAGCTACAACTGAACAAGTGCACCAAAGGCGCATGCTGGCAAATTTCCCTCTTCGGCCAGTGACTGTAACCGAATTCGGATGGCATGCGCTATATTCCATTTTGTTGGTACAAAACGCAGGGCAAGATCTGTTGTGAGTAAAGGGCCTCCTGTCCAAGTCAGTGTGGGCAACCGCGATGAAAAGACCGGACCACATCCCGACTGTAGTTGAAATCTAGATAAAAGGTTTGTATTGCCTATAGGATTTTAGAAACCCGGCAAACGGGTAAACCAAATCTTTCATCGCATGCTCAAAGCGTGCCCGGTAATGCTTTCAACCGCAAATCGGTTTACAATAGTTGTCGCTTGCTTTCATCTATGAATACTGCTTTTGATCTACAAGCAGAGCAGAAAATGCCTCAGCATCAAGACTTTCCAGGGCGTGTAATCCAATGTGAACCGAGTCCATTGCCCAAGTGCAGCAAGATGCGCCAGGAAGCCGCGTCATTTAAGCGACTCTGTTGGCTCTCCCGTCCATGATAGGTCTGTGGCCTGCCAATACAAACCGACGCCATCGCCTGTTCATAGATAGAAGAAATTCACGAAATTTTCACCTTGGTAGCAAGAACGCACGAATCAATTGCAGCCGAGGACGAATCGAGATTTATCATTTATATTATTATTGTTAATTTGTTGTATAAAAAGTTGAGGGTCCACTGAAATCAAGGTCCCGTAAAAGCTCGTTCCGAACCATGCGACGGATCGCAGCTTGAACCTTACTTGTTTCGCCAAAAAGGTTACACGCCTGATCCGCTTTCCCGACGATGCCCTCTTGTCAAATTCGCCTGTTTTGTAGAGCACTTCAAACCAACGACATCTATAACGTTCGCGCAATGCCAGCAGCCATTCGTCAAAGGCACCAAAAGTAGAGAAATGAAAAAGAGAATTTGATACCTCAAAAAGTACGAATGACCCCAACCCGATTTGAACGGATGACCTTCGGAAATTTCCTATCCGTAGAACGTCTGGAAGCCGACGCTCTACCGCTGAGCTATAGGGCCACATGTGTCAAACATCTGATTATATATACATTATAAAGTCGTGCAGAATTGAATTAACTGTCTGTGCAACCCTGCAACAGCAAAGTGCGAAAAAAAGTTTGTCGAACTAAGCACTACAATTGCTCAACTATATCATCCAGGTACAATATTTTCACCCATCAGAGACTACAGCGGAAGGTAGAATGTAGAACGTAGGACCTGGCTAGATGACAAAGTGAGGCATGCACGGCTTTGAGCAGCACAAAAATGCGATTTGCTCGCCAAGAGGAGTATGCAACTTGTTCGCACTAAAGAGATTGTGCTAAGCCTGTTTGCACAGGCTCCTACCATCCCTTACTTGTGCGTTGCACAACCCTACTTGGAGTGGCATACTGATGATGCTTGCCGCCAGAATGCCGAGACTGTCTCCGAATCCAACGCAGCCGATCCTGAACTCGTGTTCTTGAGCCTCTCTTGCGGTTGAATGTTCTCCATTCTCTTCATCCTCTCTCGAGTCCTGGTCGTGGTCTTCATCAAAGTGTTGACTTTCCCCATTTTCAGGCATACATTCATCACTCCCACTTGGTAGTGCAATGCCAGAATGTTCATCCCCTTCATCCACACCTATACTATAAAACACACTCACGTATGCAGCACCTCCCGCTAATCCTTCAATGCAGATCAACACAATCACCAGAGGACTTGCTATACTCTCCCTGAACCAAGCGTACAAGCTTTCACTCGTCAACAGCCCAAGCAATCCCGTCTGCAACACTGCCGGAAGCCACAGATACCTCTTTGGAATCGCGGGCAAATTAAACATCGAAATAGAGCTTCGAGAAAGAAAGACAAACGTTTGGTATACTAGTTGGTATAGCGGGTAGTAGTCGGTGAGTTTCCGGATGATGAGGGATAAAAGTGGATGGTTGGATCGGGTTGGGAGTGCGTATAGTAGGGTTGGGGACACGCCCTGATTGATCGTGTATTCTGCAAAGTAAACAGTGACTAAGGGGAGAATATAGGGTAAGAGCATTGGGCGGAGGAGAGCCATCTTCTCTTCGAACGACAGTCGAATCTTGGGATCTGCTTTCAGGTCATTGTCCATGAGGGGTCTAGTCGTAGGTGATGATTGTTGTCGTTGATGGTCCTCTTCGTCGTCTGCCTCAGCGATCACGTCCACATCGTCAAGCAAGTCTCCATTCGCATCCTCCTCGGTCGAAATAGGTGCGTAGCCTGCAACATTCCCTTCAGCCAGACCGTTGAGCAAAGACTCGACCGAAGGGAGCACTGCTGAGTATACTAGGAACATGAATCCGGGCAAAACACTCAATATCCCCATACCCAATTTCACACCAAGTGGCCTGACCACCCACCAAGCTCCCGCTCCAAACAGCCCTGCTGCCCCCGTACCACTGGCAAACCAGCCAACCGCATCACCTGCATAGTTGGTTCTCGCATGACGTATCATTGTTTCGCCTCTCTTTCTTCTTGCTTTAGGTGCATATCTCGTACTTAGCTGGAGAAAAGTCAGCTCGCCCAGACCTGAGCTGAAACTCGCTAGGCATATTCCCACGAGTCTCATTCCAAGATCAGGAAAGAGTGAGACAAGTAACATACCGACAAAGCTGAGTGCTGCGCAAGACAGGACTCGTTTGGTATATCGAATCGCGCCTTTCAAGACATAGGGCCATACCGCTTTGGCAATGAGCGCAGGAAAGATGTTGGCAAACGAGACTAGTCCAGTCGGCACTCCGGTCGGAAGCAGTTCGAGCGCTGCAGTAAGGATCACTACGTAGAGCGAATTATTGAGAAGGCCGAAGAGGAAGAATGCGCTATTGAGGCCAACAGATGTTTGCTTGGTCGGCAAGGACGAGGGTGGGTGCCGAGCGGCTATTGTAGGGGTCATGGTACGAGTTGTGCTTCTAGATAATATGGGTGGTGTTGATGATGGTGTGTGGCTGTCATAGGGGTCAGATGGAGCAGCAATGTTGGCGTCGAATTGACGGAGGGGAATTGGTTCGACCGCGACCATGCATGTAAGCGTGCCGATGAGTCGACCCTACAGGAGGGTGCACTTTTGTTTCGGAATCGAAGACTAAGCTCGAGGAATGTAGGTGCAAGTTTCGAGCTTGAGTCGTAGCTTTGAATTCCGAAGATGCGGTGTTGTATGTCTTTCAGAGTTAGGTGGTGATGATTGTGAAGAGAGTGGCTGATGCGAAGAGGAACATGCAATACAGAGTACGTGTGAGAAACGTGGCAAAATGCACGGTTGCTGAGAAATGTGCTCCACCCAAACACCATCTGTATCAATTTTTTGGTAAAACCTTTTTGTTTTCCTGCTCAATAATTTCTGGCTTTTGCCTCCCTTGACTATCGTCTTTTCGTCTGGACAGATACTGCCACGAAAAGAGGAGTCTTCGTAGCTTGCACATGCAAAGCGGACTGGTCGTGCTACACCGCAGCGACTGCATATTAGGGTAAGCGCATGTTGCAAAAGACCGTGACGAGTAGGAAAGTATGTAAGAGTGAGACGAACAATAGAGCAAAATGTGGTCGGACAAACCGAATACACCACACCGTCAAACATCCTATTATGGGGAGCGAGCGATCGCGAAGCGCTCAATCCCTTCGCAAGTTATCTAACCGAGCCTGTAGAGCATCTTCATCCTTACTTGTACCACCACCGCCTAATGTACCACCCGCACCCTCCCCAATCGCAACTCTTTGCTGTGGAGCGGCCTGTGGTGCTGACAATGCGGCTGTTGGTGCCTCGCCCAACTGCTGACCTACACTCACGCCGATTTCGTCGAGGACCTCTTTGAGGATGTTGTCCGATTCTTCTTCCTCTCCCACACCTTCATCCTCGTCGTCCATGGCTTCATCGACAGCTTCACCCATCATCTCGTCCTTCATGTCCATGGTTGCGGATTCGCGCTCGAAATCGCGCATGATGCGTTGAATGGCGGGGAGGTTCATGCTTCGATTCATTGTGCCCATTGCCTATCGTATCCATAGTGCGAAGAGAAATGAAGAGTCGACCAGGGTCAGTCAAGCGCTGCTGGAAGTAAAAATGAAGATATTGGAATGCGAAGCGACTTACCCTTGTAGCTCCCTTCATAGCTTCAGCCATCTGCTGATTACTGCGCAACGTCTGGATGCGCAGCGAAACAGCTTGAAGTTGTGTCTTCATCTGATAGAATTTGTGGATGTGTCTACGTGTCCTGACCAGATCTTTTGCCATGACCTTGCAAGCAGGCATCTGGCCAGCACGAGCGCTCTTCTTGATGTCTTGGGTGAGCTTCTTCTCCTGCTGTTCGAGTTTGGTGCGTTCACGATCGAGTTCTCGTTGTGCTTTTTGCAGGGTCCGTTGGTGCTCTCTGAGTCGTTCTGCTGGCGTCTTGGACCTGCCAAACAGCGAGTGGACGATATTCATTGTGAGAAAGAGAAGGCTCGATCGAGCTGCTTGGGGTATAGAATTCGAGCTGAGCCGAAGCCGTTGAGCTTGGGGCTGAGTTGGGACTGGCTTGGGTGATGGCGGTGTAGACTAGACTTTCGGGGGCGTGCCGATTGATGACTGTGCTGGTATAGGATGAAAGAAACGCAGTGTTAGAGATGATTCAAGACGTGGATGGGTCGATTGGCGGCTTTCCCTTAACTCTGCCTTGGCTACGCACATCAAAAGTGGAGTACTGCACGGTAAGCTCGACGCAAAAGAGCAACCAACACTGCACAAGGCACAGCGTCAGGGACCCTCTTTCTGGCTTGAGCGTGGCTGATTTTGGAATTTAGCAGCCGAATGTGCCCCACCAACGCTTTGTGCCGACCTCACACTTTGCAAAACTCGGAGGGCCACGTTTAATGAGTTTGTGCGCTCTGTAACAATGCATATTGTGCTTCTGTGACCCATACCCTTTCGACATGCAACGAAATGCTCTCAACACCACATCCCCCTCACCATACCAACACTAGCGTCGAGTAGCTGAGACGTCTCTGGTAGACTTTGTCCCGCCAACGTTGCGCATCATACAGGCTGTACGGCCCTGCCAAGTTCGCCTCAATAAGTGCTCTGAAAACACGATCGATTGTCATCACCTATATGCCCTCACAAGCACAAGCATAGACTGCTACAAGCTCAACAAGCTTTTCTGCTCTCGGTACCTTCGCATACCCCTCAAAACACAATCACGAAAGCGTTGCAACCATGGCGTCCCTCATCCCACCCAAGAAGCCCCGCAAGCCGGGTATGCCCAAGCTCACCATCCCCGCCAGACCTTCATCCTCATCCTCGGCTCCAGGGGGTACAGTCCAACGCGAAGACGCCACTTTCGATGCATCAGCTCCCCGTTCCACTCTTCAGCACCTAGATCAGCAATCACAGCGACCGCAACCATCACTCATGATCCCACAGGCATCCTCTTCTTCGTCGTCCCTCGCTCACGGCTACCAAGATGAGGGCTACGATGACGGTCATCCTGGCGTCCCCAACTCCCTCGCTGCCACCATCTATCCTGACACTGTACCTCATCTCACAAATGCGCAGATGCAAAGCGCGCTCACGGATGACCTTCGGCGAGCCATCGGTGGCATGTCGATGGCCGACACCGAGGGTGAACGTCTCGATGCCAATGGTCTTCGAATCCCCGACAAAGGGGTTCAGAACTCTTCCAACGGATACTGGATGACCAGCGACTCTGCCAGCGGTAGTAACAGTGGTAATAGCCGCTCATCCAACAACGCTGACTCTGAAAACTCAGCACAGTCCCATCAAACCCGGGCGAGAACCGATTCCAGTGCATCCCGGGCCAGTACTTCTTGCGGACACGATGACGATCTTGTCCTAGCGGGCAACTTTGAGATCCTCTCGCGACTAGGCGAAGGAGCAAGTGGTGAAGTACACAAAGTGCGACATCGTCCAACAGGACTCATCATGGCCAAGAAGACCATCTCAACCTCACCCAACCCCGCCATTCATCGCCAGATTTTGAGGGAACTCGCTTTCAATCGCTCTTGTCACTCTGATT